ATATATTGAATTTCAGTAGTTGGTTGCATAAAGAAGTAAAGTGTAATGAAACTGGCAAGCAAAGTATTCCCTAGTCAGCCTTATCTTTGTTCCATTTGTCCTTCAGATACAGCTTTTCTTGCCTTTTTCAATAAAATCCATCCAGCTTTTTTATTTTGCATCTCTCTGTAACCGAGCTGGGAAGACCAATGAGATTCGGTGCTTTTCTAGTTGGGTTCTTAGCAGCTGCTTTTTAAGAGATCAAAACTTCGACTGCTGCTACATGGTATTAAGGCTTAGCTATTGATGTGTCCCTATAGGGGTTATGTTTTTCTTGCAGGGGGTGGGGGAGAAGGGGAAGGGGTGACCCCTGCGAGCATGCTCACAGACACTAAACACTGTTCTCCTTGTTTTCCAGGGTCCTCTTTGCAAGCTCGGTGCTTAACCTGGCTGAACTCACTGCCCTCCGCCCTGACCTTGGCAAATTGAAAAAGGTCCTCTACTTCCATGAGAACCAATTGGCATATCCTGTCCAGAAATGCCAGGAAAGGGACTTTCAGTATGGATACAACCAGGTCCTTTCATGGTAGGTGTTCCTCGCACCGGTCCATGTGTCTAAGGTGTCCTTCTGTCTGTGAGTTCACAGCATCATAAGCCTGAGGAGTTCCCCTCTGTATAAATGATGACCCTATAGCAAACCAAGGCAGCAGCAGAATTCTGAGGAGAGGCTGCTAAAAGTGCTGTGGCAGAAGAAATCTGCTCCTTGAACTCATGTTAGTTTTGTTCTATAAGGTCCACCAGTGCTCTACATGACGTACCTGTTAGTGGTGGGGATTTCGACCCGTGTCTTGGCTGTGAGATGCTTTGTTTCATGGATGCTTCACAAAGCTACAGCTAATCAGCTCTTGCTTGGCCATAGCTTTTACTGCATCCATCTGAAATTATGTAGAGGGTTTTAGGGAAATAAACAGAAATTAAAATGTACTGCGGCAGTTGTCTTGTGAAGAGAGGGCAGTAAACATACCAGATAAATCCTTATATTTCTTTCATCTAGTATTCAGAAATTGTGCAGTGCTAAAATACCCAGACGTTTTAAAGGCTGCGGTCCTTTATTGTTGCTAAAAACAAATGTATTTCTTGAATCTGAGTTAATGAAAGAAGTTAATAACAGCACTGCTGAAAAGCTTTGTGGTTAGGCGCAGTACAGACCCCAGTGAAGCAGCAAAACTCGGTTGTTTTGAGCTGAAAACATCATTTCCATGATCATCTTCACCTATCTGTTAATAGGAGAATTGTTTGGATTAGGATTGAGCATTTTAAGGTATAATTTAGGCTTCTGCATCTTTATAACATGAGCCAATTGATCCTGAAATTTCTCAAATCTTGATGTGTTTATACTCTGGCCATTCTGCAGCTGCTTCTGCCACAGCATTTGCAACATATTTCACTTGCTGAGCAGTAAAGATGGGGAAGTCTAGTGAAAGATCTTTTGAAAACAGTAGCAGCCATTTGCAGATGTTATAACAACAAGATGTGGTTTTTGGCACTGGGGCAAGGAATATTTTTATATATTGTGGCAGTTATTTTTCACAATCTATTGGAAGCTGACAACATTTATCCTCAAAATACACATTTTTAAGACAATGAAATGATCTTTTATTAGGGGAGAAAAAAAGGATGACTTTTATACATGCTTCATTCTGTCTCCTTCAGCCTCCAAAAGCTTCTCCATGTAATTATATAATATTCATCTTCTATTTTTGCTGCTGCAGAAACACCATTTTTAACAGTAGATGGAATCTGCTTCCTTTGTAGTGTTTGTAACTACCTAGTGGTCATCTGCAAAGAAATGCCATCTTCCAAATCTCTTAGAAATAGGAAAATGTATCTTTCCAGCTTTGCACAGAGGTTTTGGAAATTACTAAAATCAGAGCACTTTGAGTCTTCAGTGTTGGTGAGCAGTGGCAGGTCTCTTTCTTGACCAGACAGCAGTGAGGATGAAGGGCAGCCTCTCCCCTCAAATATACTTTTCACCAATCTGGTGACTGATGAAGGTGTCCCCTCAGTGTATCTTAGGACCCACAGGTCTGTATTACAATATATAATGTACTGAGAAAACCAACTGTCCATAAAGCATCTCTCACCTCTGTTAGTCTGAGATTGTGTCAGCACTTCCAGGATAAACTTCCAAATATTTCAGGGGTTTTGATAGCTTCTTGTTTTCTCTAGGCTGACTTCAAGTGGAGAAATAATACCTTTGTTATGTTTTAACTATATCTTAAAGTTATTGATCCAGCTGATTTTCAAACACAACAGTAAAGAACAAGACGTTGCATTTATATGCTAAATTTCTTCAGAGTTATTTTTTTTTGGTGCTGTGCACTGTGTATTTTTTGTATACAGTTGGTGAATGTACTTTAATTGATGTATACATAAGACTGATTAAAAGTTACATTCCATTTCCCTAGTGTTCTGCTACTTAACACACATGGTTGAAAGTAAGTTAACCAAAGGTAAGTTGTTCTTTAGTACAAGGGATTAATTCTGGAAGATTTTCATTTTCTTCCAAGTTTACTTCTCCAATAGTCACATTACAGTGGGCCTTAGCTGTTTATAATTCTTTAAGAGATGTTGACAGTAATACCACTATTTAGTGAATAGAAAGTAATTCACAGATAGAGTAGGATGTGACCCTTTAGATTATTGTTAGTAATTTTTTAATATTAATAAAATATTTCAAAGAGTGAATAGACAGAAATCAAGACATCTTTAAGGTACATATGCTGCTCCTAATCCACATGAAAAGGCTGATTTTTAAGTAGCATTTTACTTGCACTTTTGTTTATAAGAATGTGTATTCAATTTCCATTGCATTTAAAACAATTCTCTTTCTTTTGTTGACAGCACTACATTCACTAATCTTAACCCCTTTTTACAGTTTGGTTGCTGACGTTGTGGTCTTCAACTCTGCTTTTAATATGGAATCGTTTCTTACATCCATTGGAAAATTTATGAAGCTGATTCCTGACCACAGGCCCAAGGATTTGGAAAAAACCATCAGACCCAAGTGCCAAGTTCTTTATTTTCCAGTCAGGTTTCCCGATGTGAGCAGGTCAGTGCATTTACCACGTCATAAATCGCCTCCAGCCTGTCAAAACTCTCTATTTATGGTGACGTTCTAACTAATCAGCTAAAGCATTGTTAATGAAAGAGTTTGATAATATGCAAGATGCTCTAATTGATAAATGTATTTCAATAATCAGAGGCTGATCTGCCGAGCCTGCCCTCGGCGTGCGCCGTAGGAACTGGCAGTGTTTAGGATGAGTGATTTCCCACTTGTTCTCCTCATTTCCCACTTGTTTTTGTCTTCGAGGAGTTGCCTGCTCCTCAGCTCTGTATATATTTGTACAGGGGAGGTCAAGGAGGAGAAAGAAATGCTGGAGAACAGTAAAAGTGCTAAGCCTGTAGTCAAGAAGCGATATCTCCCCCGGTGTGTTGCGGGGGGATTTCATTCCCTCCTCCCTCCCCTACCTCCTTTTTTTATTGCTTTCCAGGTAGGCAGAAAGCATCCCCGTAGCAGGGAGCAGACTTGCAGATGCTGGCATTAGCTGCAGCAGTAGTTGCTCTTCAGTCTTCCCGGGTTACTCTGAAGGACGTTTTTTATTACCCTTGTTTCAGAGCCCGTCTTAAAATTAGCGGTGGGTTATGTGGCTCAAAGGGAACATTCACTAGATCCTTTTCACTTTTGATTAAACCTGGCACAATTGTTTTTCCTGTTCTAAGGGACTCTCCTCCCACTGAACAGGAACTTTGCTTCAGTGGGACCGGCACTAAATAGAGAATGATTCTGCAATTTGATTATACTCTTAAAACCAATATGATGTCGAGTACATTTTTTTGCTGAAATAAGGATGGAAAGCACCATAATGACTCTGCAAGAGGCCAGCTTTTCATCTGCTAAGATCTGGCCATACTTGAAATGTTTGTCCCTGACCAGTTTGTCCATACAGTTATTTCAGAAGCGATACATTGGTGATAGTTTGGGATAAAGAGATTTTTAGTACAGGAGTCGAGGTCATGTACTCTGTTGAAGTTCACACTGCAAGGTTTGCATCTCAGAAGGCTGGAGAAGCTTTATGTTGTGAAGCACTGATAGCAAATAATTTAAAAATCAATATCTATCAATATCTAATATCTATAAATATCTAAAATCTTTAAAGCTGTGTTTCACAGACTGGCTTAGGTTGGAAGGCACCATAGAGATCATCTAATCCAACCCCCCTGCCACGGGCAGGGACACCTCTCAACTAGACCAGGTTGCTCAAGGGCTTATACAACCTGGCCTTGAACACCTCTAGGGAGGGGGCAGCCACAACCTCTCTGGGCAATCTGCTCCAGAGTTTTTGGCAAGTAGGTTAAAATCAATGGTTTGGGTTGGAAAGGACCTTAAAGATCCTCTAGTTCCAAGCTCCCATGTTCCTTAGGGATTTGACTGCCTGGATGGCGGTGGAGATCAGTACTGATACAGCTCTGAGGATCTACTGCTTCTTAAAGACCATGTTTTTCAAGAGCGAGGGAATGCTGCTGTGGATGCTCAGCATATTTGATATCGAGCCATTTTAGAAGGATCTTGTGGTTTTTTGGCTTACTTTAGGAAGTCATGTGGTCCAAGCCTAATTTTGGAGATGAAGTTGTGATAATCCTGTCTCATACATTAAATCACCTCTTTTGGACTTGTCAGCCCTGGCAGATGGGGTCAAATGAGACCTGACAAATTAGGCTGAAGTCATACACACAGTGATCATTTGTCCAGAGCAGAGGGTGTTTAGATGGGTAAAAATCATTAGACTGCTACCCAAGCTGGTAAAGTAGGCAGGTCTCACATCTTACTGTGTGCTCCTCTTTGTGCCCTGCTCTTGAATGAAATCTCAGCTCACAAAGCAGGACACCCTGCATGTTTATAGCATGGTTGTTGCACTTGAAATTACTTCAAAAAGCTCTTTCAGCAAATTAAGATGCTCAGAAATTGAGAAGTTTAAATTTCAGAAAATGAAGATGTTCATAAACAACTGTGACTGTTAAACTTTCTCAGCAGAGTTGAAATGAGATTAATATCAGCTCTGTTATTTCTAAGATGCATTTTGGTCAACAACTAAAATTGTAAGAGCTGAGGTTTTTTAGACAAAGCTCTGTGACATCACAGGAAAAAAAATAAAAATAAAAAAATCAGGACTGCTGCTGCAAAATCCTGAAGTTTTTCTGAGCTTTGACCTTCAGCTGCATCCAGTATTTGCTGGTTTTTTACATGACCACATTTTAAATAATGCTGAATGCACCTGTGGCAATTGGATTCTGTTTTTTAATTTAGACTGTATTAGTATAGAGACTGAATGGAGGTGGAGGAGAAAAAGGTTAAGAAAAACGGTGGCCGAGCTAAAATTTATAAAGCAAGCTCTTAGCCCAGAGTGTTTTTCAAGTTATTTTCAAATGGTAATTTGCTTTCTCCAAACCAAACTCATACAGTGTAAGTAAGTGATTATTTGCATGACTGACAATCATTTCAGTGCCTGCAGTCTTTTTAAAATGCATAATTTTGCTGAGATGTTGGGAAAATATTTAAAAATTCTGAAGGCAAAGTAACCAGGGTGATTTTTTTTTTTTTCTCTTTGACCTCTTTTATCTTGCGTGTGAACGTCTCAGGTTGTGTTTGTGTCTTAAACATAATCTTCAGCTGGATTTGGGAGAGGGGTGATCTAAGAAATCATCCCCATGCGTGTGATGATGATCTTTTTAAGATTATTTTAGATTAATATGGCAATTGTAGGGCAAAATAAAACATATCTGGTCCTTGATCAAAACCAGTGTAATAAAGGAGCATGTCACATGAGCTAATCCTCTGACATCTCTACCTTTTAATGTAATTACTGTAGGTGATGGGCACACAAAGCAGCACAGTCAATGATCACTTCAGAGTGAAGGTATAACAATGAGGGATACCTTAGGAAATACTTGTGAATGTTATTAGAGGTACCATTATACATTTGTGTATTTAAATATTGCAGGTGAGCATCTAATCGCTGCTGTTCTGCTTTAGAGAGGAAGTTTTCAGTGCTTTCTTTTTTATCCAGATTCTTGGTTTTAATAAATATTTGTCATAGGGGCACATATTGGTGTTCCCAGAGCGAACAACCAGACTGCTGGTCCTTATCTGACAATGAGAAGAGATGAAAGGATTTGAGGATTTAGCAGAATAAGAAATTTACTGACCTAATCCTCCTGTTTTCTGGTGCTGACAATGACTAGCTTCCATATTGCATCCTGTGGTGCCAGAGCTACTCCATATATCCTCACCCTCTTATCATTTTTGACTCAGAATTCTTCTCTTCATACATTCTGGTCAAATCTGTTATGTAGAAATACATACTGGGGTACTTTTGAGCTTGGGGAGGAGTAAAAGCCCCAAGTTAAGGCTGTCACTTCCTAGTGAACAGGTTGTAGACCAGTAGTTGACCCTACGTGCCATATGTGCTGTGTACCAGACTGGGTTTTTGTAATATAGTGTATTAAATCCACTGGAATTCACATTTATATTGGCTTAATTTCAGTATATTTTCTATTGTAATGTAGATAAAATTATTTTTTTTCTATACAGTCAATAGAGTGTGTTTTGACATAACCTGTTTCTACTTTGTACTGAAAAAACTATGGTCCAGGAAGAAAATCCCCTTTCTACTGATGTTGTCTTTGATACTTGCTTCTTCATCTGCCAGCAGATCCTGCTGGAACACCTCTGGAAGGTCTTCTTGATATTGTCTATGAACTCTCTTGGTCCATCTACATCCATCCTGTCTGTGGCAGCCAGCAAAGCAGGGTCAGATTAGGTGCTCCTTGGAATTCATTTCAGTGAAAATTGTGATGTGGATTTAGATTGTTATTCCTATTCCTCTAACTGTTGTATATCCTTATTATCATCACAATGGGATAGAAAAAGAAGATGTTTTTATAAGCAAAAATAAAGTTAAGTTCCTAAGAGCTCAAAATGCACATTGGGCTAAGGTGGAATAATATAAAAGAAACATGAGAGGATGAGGATGACAGGAGAAAATAAAACCAGCTTCTTTTAAGTGGATCTTGCTAGCAAGTACCTTGTACTATCTGCTTTACACATTTTGAAGTAAATTAAAGATTTTAGACCATTGTTTCTTCATTTGCTTTTATAACTTAGCTCAGTTAACAGGACATAATCAACCATTTGATTTTATATTTTTTTAGTTATAGTGTAAGAGAGGCAGATTTGCTAATTGAGAGAGTATTTTAGGACTAGTCAAGGGAGTTCTTGACTAAAGCAGAAGTTTTTAAAAGATGCTGACAGTATCTTTTGTACAGAAGAATGACTGTCACGTGTCGGGGAGCCTGTTTAGGGGAAATAAAAGGAAAACCATAAAATAGCATCACTTGTTCCAGGCTCGCAGGGCTGAACTTCAGACTTCTGTTTAGATAACTGAGGGGCTTCTACTTCTTCTGTGATCTTAATGCTGTACAATGGCTTTGCTCTGCTGGAAAAATACCCATGTCAACAAGCAAGGAGAGACTTGAATCCACCAGAGCCCAGAGCTATAGATGGGCACAGGGGATGTGTCCACATTGCACAGAGAGATGTTCAGCAGTGGTACTCAAGCGGGCTCTAGTGAGCTGTCTTACATATGGGAAGCAGAATACCTTAGAAGAGCAGTTTTGGGCTAATTAGCCTTCCAGTGAAAGAGCATAGATTACCTTAGGTGGAGTAGTATGCTAATGATAGTGATTCTGGTTCTGAGGCCTGCTGCTGCTGCCTTTGGTGGTGGCTCGGGCATCTCCACGGTGTGCCGTGCTCTCTCTGGTAGGCACAGCCTCCCTGCCACCACGGGTTATGGGTACTTAGCATAATTAGATGCCAATAGACTGCTCCCACCTTGGGGCTTGCTGCTGAAGGACTGGGGGATGGAAATTACTCCCCTGAATGTCTTTCCTCCTCGCCTGCCACAAGGAGGTTTTGAGGGCTGCTGTTGGCACAAGAAGAGGTTACACAATGAGCGTGGGGGATGTGCTGGAGATCTGGGACACAACACCTAGATGGAGGAAAGTACAGTACTGGCTTACAAGGGGCTTAACACAGAGTCTTTCAGTGCTG